AAGGAGAATTTTTATTTTGTTTGATTTAAATGTGTATCCAATGCGTCCCCTTCAGCCTCTGTGCTTTAATGTGTTTCTGGTGTCTATGAAATAAAATAATATGAAAATAGATTTTTATTATACTGGGACTGTTGTCCCTTTAGGACAAATTATAGATACAGAGAAAATGCCTGTGGGGCCATAAAATAAAGAAAATATTTACAATTCTCATTGAAATTAAAATATTAGAAAAAAATTAAAACAAAAAACACTAAATATACACAGATATATATATAATACAAACATATGAAAATAAAATAATATAAGGAAACAAAATCATTTCTGGGATAACTTATAAAGCTCTCTTATCTACATTTCTTGATTAGTCGGGTTGGGAAAGAAGTAGGTGATTAAAAAGGAGAGATTTAAAAGAGGAAACTGATTGTGCATGTCGGATATCGGGAGGGATGGTATTCCAGATGGAGACGGCTTGAATTATAAAGGATTTGTCAAACGCAGCAGTTCGGTGAGAAAGTGGGTAGAGGTCAAAAGTACGGGATCTAGTGGGAAGGGATTGAATAGAATATTTAAATTATAGGCTGTGAAAAATATAGGAAGGTTGCTGAGTTCTGGTGGCTTGGTATAGAAAGGTAGCAAGGTATAGACGGCGGTTCGATGAATAGAGCCACTTCAAATTGGTGTAATACTTGGTTATATGCGAATCTCTTGAGATTCCGAAGACAGAACGTATTGAACAGTTCATTAGGCGTTTAAGTTTGGATTCGAATTCTCCCAAGAGTCCGCCGTACACCAGACAGCCATAGTCGAAGTGAGGGAACACAAGGCGTTGTAGGGAATTATATGGAAGGAGATAGAGGAGACGAATAAACTGTTTCAGGGTAGAGATAGTACGACGTGAAATTTGGGAGATGTGTGGTTTCCAGGAGAGGGTTTCATCAAAGGTAACACCAAGGTTTTTTACGGAAGTGTGGAATGAGATAGGTGAGTTATTCAGGAAAATATTGGGGAGTGTCGGTAAGGATTTGAGGAGTGAGGGAGTTCCGATCAGGATGGTTCTCATCTTTTTGGAGTTTAGATTAATTTTATTGTGGTTGGCCCAGGCACAAATTCCGTTTATATCTTCCTGTAATTTTTGGATGGCGTCAGAGGATTCGGTCGGATTGGAGGAGACGTAAATCTGGACGTCGTCGGCATATAGATGGTATTGACAGTGTAGGATGGAGGATGGAAGGTCATTGATGCAGATGGAAAAAAGGGTGGGAGATAAGAAGGAGCCTTGTGGGACAATGGTAAAGATTCTGATGGGAAGTTATTGGGGACTACAACATATTGGGAGCGGCCAGTAAGGAAGGATTGGAACCAATTCAGAGTACTAGTTGAAAAAGAGATATTTTTAAGCTTGTTTAGGAGAATTTTGTCGTGTACTGAGTCAAAGGCTTTGGAGAAGTCAAGGAGAATTAGGATGGTGAGTTTCTGATGGCCCATGGCTGTATGAATGTCTTGGGAAATTTTGATGAGGGCAGATTGAGTGAAGGAGCCGGGTCAGAAACCGGACTGGTTGGGATTTAGGAGGTTAATCTGTTCTAAAAAGTCGGATAACTGGGTTTGAACTAGTCCATCTAAAGGTGTGGAAAGGAGAGAGGAGAGAACATGGACGGAAATCATTAAGAGTTGTTGGATTGGAAGTCTTCTTCATAGGGGGAACTAGTGCAGTTTTCCAGGATGTCGAGAATGTAGCGTTTTGTAGTGAGTAATTGTAGATATGGTAAAAGATTGGAAGGATGGATGGTAGTGAGGCTTTGATCAGTCTGACTGGGATATTATCGGGTCCATAATCATTGGTTTGCGATTTCTGAATGGAGTTGAGGAGGTCATCAGGTATAATATGAGAAAAAAAGAAGTGATCAGGATTAAAATTAAAAGGGAAATACATAAGAGCCGCTATGGTCGCAGGAGGTGAGGATAAGAAGGTACAGCGGACAAAGTGAACGTTAAGGTCATCGGCAGAAAAGGAAATGATCTGGGTTTGAGGTGTGTTACAAATCGTCAGTTTGTTTAGAATAGCGCATTTGGCCTTGGAGTTCGGGGTGTTGGATAAGTATGTTATAATGTTATAATTAAATATACAATAATTAAAAGTCTATTGATTTTCAATAAAACTTTTAATGTTTTATGGGTTATTTCTTTTTTTTTTGTTTTTGTATGGTAATAAGTCTGTAAAAATTGTAAAATAATTTCATTTTCTTACATAAATAAATTATTAAAAGTATATTTAATCATAAATATTCAATCTAAGGTTCCGCTTAAAGATTGAGAAATTAGTTGTTTCATAAAGGTGTCAACTCATTTTTTTAAAATAGCAATAAGTAATATGATTTGCACAAACGTTTAATGAGAAGAAAAATTTTATTTTAGCTACAACACATCAGTACCAACGGAAGAAAACTTTTCTTGGTACTATTTTTCGAAACAGCGGTTGTATTTCAAAAAAGACGGCCATTAATAAGACGACGCCTCAGATGAAATTGCTGCATTCTTCTAGAATCAAATATCCCGCCAAATCGACCACAGGTATATAAAAATACTATTATACATTATGATGGATCTTAATTAATAATATATGAATGAACACGCATTTCCATAAATAATATTGAACCGATCTGATAAGCGGTGTAGTAACTCCGCTTCAAGAAAAATAACCAATTGTATCCTTATTTCTTTGGCAAAATTTTATCTATCCCCTCTCACAACATTTTCAAACTTGCACATATACAAACTAATGAGAGTATAATTACACTTATAATTAAGGACAATTTTTTTTTTCTTTTGATATAAATGCGTATCCATTTGCGTCCCCTTCATCCTTTGTGCTTCAATTTGTTGCTGGTGTCTTTGTTATAATTAAATATACAATAATTAAATGTCTATTGATTTTCAATAAATCTTTTAATATTTTATTAGGTTATTTCTTTTCGTTTTGTTTTTGTATGGTAATAAAACTGTAAAAATTGTAAAATAATTTTATTTTTTTAAATAAATTATATTATTAAAAGTATATTTATTCATAAATATCAAAAATATTCAATCTAAGATTCTACTTAAAGATTGAGCAATTAGTTGTTTCATAAAGGTGTCAACTCATATATTTTTTTAAAATAGCAATAAGCAATATGCTTTGCACAAAAGTTTAATGAGAAGAACAATTTTATTTTAGCTAAAACACATCAGTACCAACGGAAGAAAAATTTTCTTGGTACTATTTTTCGAAACAGTGATTGTATTTCAAAAAAGACGGCCTTAAATAAGACGACGCCACAGATGAAATTGATGCATTCTTCTAGAATCAAATATCCCGCCAAATCGACCGCAGGTATAAAAAAATACTATTATACATTATGATGGATCTTAATTAATAATATATAAATGAACACGTATTTTCCTAAATAATATTGAGCTGATCTGATAAGCGGTGTAGTAACTCCGCTTCAAGAAAAATAACCAATTGTATCCTTATTTATTTGGCAAAATGTTATCTCTGCCCTCTCACAACATTTTCAAACTTGCTCATAAACAAACTAATGAGAGTATAATTACACTTATAATTAAGGACAATTTTTGTTTTCGTTTGATTTAAATGCATATCCAATGCGTCCCCTTCAGCCTTTGCGCTTCAATGTGTTGCTGGTGTCTTTGTTATAATTAATTATACAATAATTAAAAGTCTATCTATTTTCAATAAAACTTTTAATATTTTATTGGTTATTTCTGTTTGTTTTGTTTTTGTTATTGTAATAAAATTGTAAAATAATTTTATTTTTTAAAATAAATTAAATTATTAAAAGTATTGTTTGCTCCCTCTTAATTTATGTCAAAATTTGAATGAAGCCTAACTATTTAATTGTGATTTAATAAAAGAAAAAAGAAAAAGAAATAAAGGCTGTATCTTCAAACATTTATTTCGGAACATTTACGAAATCTAGTATTGAAAACATAAAAACAAAATGAATCAATTTTACACTTGTTAGATAGGTAAAAAAGAACAAACTTCTAGCATAAAATAAAGACCAGCTGAACAAACAATTGTGACAATATTAATGAAACATTTTCTTGCTTGATCATAAATAAAAACTATTTCTAGTGCCCAAATTAAATAAAATAAAAAAAAACCAACTTCTCTAAAGTCCCAATATGAAATTTATATATATAACAAATAATTAGATTGTACAACGTTACGTGGACGAAGCAGGGCGTTCGTAAACCTCTGTCTCTATGCAGAAACCAATTGTAACTCTTCAATGAGCTTGCTCAAAACGAAATGCAAATGGGCAGCGGCGAGCACGACGAGAGAAGTACGTCTCTTAAGAGTAGGACTGCAGTAAGCAGTGTTGAAGTTGGCAGTACTCAGCTCAGTGGCGGACGGAGTCAGAATCTCTTGTCCATTCTACTGCCTTATGACTTGAACCTAGCACTTGTTTATAGCTAGTGGTACAATCCATGACAAAGTAGTCCAAGTATAAACTATTGATTTATTTAATAGAAACAATATAAGCTATAGGCCTATAATACTTAATATATACATATCTTATACATAAATATACATTATATTAAATGATTTCACTTTTGTAATAAAAAAAATCAACAATTAATCAAACTAGTTAAGTGTAAAATAAATTGAATTAACTCTGTGGCGTTTTTAACTGTAAAAATAAAATAAATTAACGCTGTGGCGTTAACAAGTATATTTAATCATAAATATCAAAAATATTCAATCTAATATTCTGCTCAAAGATTGAGGAATTAGTTGTTTCATAAAGGTGTCAACTCATTTTTTTTTAAAATAGCAATAAGCAATATGATTTGTACAAACGTTTAATGAGAAGAACAATTTTATTTCAGCTAAAACACATCAGTACCAACGGAAGAAAAATTTTCTTGGTACTATTTTTCGAAACAGCGATTGTATTTCAAAAAAGACGGCCTTAAATAGGACGACGCCACAGATGAAATTGCTGCATTCGTCTAGAATCAAATACCCTGCCAAATCTACCACAGGTATATAAAAATACTATTATACATTATGATGGATCTTAATTAATAATATACAAATGAACACGTATTTCCCTAAATAATATTGAACCGATCTGATAAGCGGTGTAGTAACTCCGCTTCAAGAAAAATAACCAATTGTATCCTTATTTATTTGGCAAAATTTTATCTATCCCCTCTCACAACATTTTCAAACTTGCACATAAACAAACTAATGAGAGTATAATTACACTTATAATTAAGGACAATTTTTTTTTCGTTTGATTTAAATAAGTATCTATTCCGTCCCCTTCAGCCTTTGTGCTTCAATGTGTTGCTGGTGTCTTTGTTATAATTAAAAGTCTATTGATTTTCAATAAAACTTTTAATATTTAATGGGTTATTTCTTTTTGTTTTGTTTTTGTATGGTAATAAAACTGTCAAAATTGTAAAATAATTTTATTTGTTTACATAATTTAAATTATTAAAAGTATATTTAATCATAAATATCAAAAATATTCAATCTAAGATTCTGCTTAAGGATTGAGGAATTAGTTGTTTCATAAAGGTGTCAACTCATTTTTGTTTAAAAGTAGCAAATTAAATTAAATTAAATTAAATTAAATTAAATTAAAAGTGCCCAAATTAAATAAAATAAAAAAAAACCAACTTCTCTAAAGTCCCAATATGAAATATGATTTGCACAAACGTTTAATGAGAAGAACAATTTTATTTTAGCTAAAACACATCAGTACCAACGGAAGAAAAATTTTCTTGGTACTATTTTTCGAAATAGCGATTGTATTTCAATAAATACGGTCTTAAATAAGACGACGCCACAGATGAAATTGCTGCATTCTTCTAGAATCAAATATCCCATCAAATCGACCAAAGGTATATAAAAATTATGATATTTTTTTTTTTTAATTTATTTATTACCAGATCGGCCTGGTGGGCCTTGCATGGTTGTTGTAACAATTTGATGATTTTTAACAATTGTTCTGGTGGGGTATAGTCTTTGCAAAAGACACCCCTAACTATTTATACATTATAATTAAAAAATTATGATAGATATTATAATTTTTTAATTATAATTTATAAATAGTTAGGGGTGTCTTTTGGAAAGACTATACCCCACCAGAACAATTGTTAAAAATCATCAATAATTATGATAGATATTATTTAATTCGATAATCAACATGTGTTGCCCTAAATAACATTAAACCTATATTTATGATAAACAACCTTATTAGGGCCATACATACTTTTAGTGTGATTTATTATATTTAATACATTATTATGTACATATAAATTTTTCTTTTTTATATAACGTGTCGGGCTGTTTAGTCATTTTCAAATTATTAATTGCACACACAATGTGCTAATTTATTCACCAGCCCCTTATTACTTATTTAATATATTTTTAGTTAAGTATAGATCGAATTTGATATCTTATATTCATAACTTGATTTTAGGAATACAATACCGGAACTTTTTTGGTTTAAAGTTCAAGAATTCCATGAAAAGACTTAAAAACACAACCACAACCATAAAACCACAAGTTCCACCGACATCTAAGCTCAATTTCTGCTCAAGAAGCACCAAAAAAAGCTGTAAGTGAAAATTCCCTGCAATTGAAGTGCTATTAAACAATATAATTTATCCATATTGAACTAGGTATTACAGATCTTGTAGTTTCAGCCTTAACCAGTCTTTTCCATTTCTGCCTATCTTTGGCTATTTCTTTCCAGTTATATGCATTCAGCTATATTCTCTTTTAGTTGATTCTATCTATTCTTCTGTTTTTGTTTCTATCTATTGCACTAATAAGGCCAATTCGTCCATGTTAAAGATCGCTCCGTTTACATATTTCTTTCTTTTTCTTTAATTACTATGTCTTCACAGAGAACCTATAAACTGTTTTTTTGCTTATTTTCATATATTTTTATTGTATTTTTTTTTAAACTGGTTAGTTACCTTTCTTAACAATTTTGATGGCATGCAAGAACTATCGTAGGATAGCCCTACCGTCATCTCGATACCGATAATAAGGAGGTTGGTGAGAGGAATACATGCAAAAAATGTGCAAGTATGTCGTAAGCCTGTACCACATTTTTATTGATTTATAAGACAATTATATAAGTACAGAGATCTAAGTACAGAAATCAGTCAGGATGCTTAAAGATAAGTAATGGCAAGGCAGTGGATCAGCTGATAGGAAGGTTGTGCTCTCAGTATTTGCCTGTTTTTAGCGGAATTCCTCTGATTTTTTCATTGAATGCATTTCACGTGTACATCAGAGCAGTTGATATATGTTTGTTTGATATATTTTTTTTATAATTTTTTTTTTGTTTCTTTTCTTTCTTTCTTTCTTTCTTTCTTTCTATTCTTATGGTATGCGGTATAGTCACCAAGTGATGTCCAGTAAGATCCCCAAGAGAACTCGGTCAGACGGAGTTAGTTCATCAGCTCAACAAAGAACTCGTCGCTGCCTACGAGAAACATCTCCAACAAAAAAAGTGAACACTTCAGGACCACAACCTCAGCCACAACCAGGAACTTATTCGCAAAAAATTATCGAAGGATCCCCTTTCTTTACTCCAAACCACTACCAAGTGCTTCAGAATGACCGAGAGGTAATGGAATCTGCAACTATAGCCACAGAACCAAGCCCTCTTCTGATATTTGTGAAAAACATAAAAAATTTCCAGTTGATCTGCACCCAACTAAATAAAATCTGCTCTGGTTAAGGCAGTTATCCATGCCTTAACAGGACCAACAATACAAAAATAACACCAGATAGTGTTATTATTAATTGTGAAGTACCTCTCAGAAACAAATGCGAATTTTCATACTACCAGCTTAAGAAGGAGAGAGAGGCTTTTCTTGGAATTGTAATTTATAATTTATAATTATAAATTACAAGCATCCTTCGTACTACAAACTTTACCTTGATGTGGAAACACTCCATAATCGTGCTGTTTCCAAAACCAGGCAAACCCGTTAATAACACATCATCCTACAGACCGATAAGCTTACTCCCTATCCTCTCAAAAATCTTTGAGAAAATCCTTTTCAAACGCATCCTGCCCATACTCGAATCCCACAACATCCCTTCTCATCAATTTGGATTCCGCTCAAGACATTCCACTGTCCAACAAGACCTTCGTGGTGTGGATCATATATCCTCTTCACTTGAAAACAAGCAATATTGCACTGGTGCCTTTCTGGACGTAGCGCAAGCTTTCGACCGGGTGTGGCACGATGGCTTGCTTTTCAAGCTCAAAACCAATTTACCCCAATCCTTATACCTAGTCCTCAAATCCTATCTCTCAAATCGTTCCTTCCAAGTCCGTTGCTGCACCGAATTCTCCACTTACTATACAGTTGAGGCTGGTGTTCCACAAGGCAGTATTTTGGGCCAAGTTCTGTACATCCTTTTCACTGCCAATATCCTTTCAAATCCCGATACCTTACTAGCAACATTCGCTGATGATACTTCCATTCTATCCTCCTATTCAGACCCTCAAATAGCATCCTAAAACCTACAATCTCACCTCTCCTTGATTGAGCAGTGGTGCAACAACTGGCGCATCAAAATCAATGAAGCAGAATGCAAACATATTATTTTCACCACGCGACGCAGATCCTTTCCCACAAAACTTTTCAATCCATTACCACTTCCCTACTCAGATACAGTCCGTTACGTTGGCTTCCTTCTAGACAAAAGACTATTTTGGAACCCACATACGAGACTTAAAAGACAAGAACTTAACCAACGATATGGCCAGCTATATAGACTACTAAGCAGGACATCCCATCTTTCGGTTGAAAATAAACTTTTAATCTACAAGACAATACTGAAACCTATCTGGACCTACGGACTTGAACTGTGGGGAACTGCTAAACATTCGAATATCAAACGCGTCCAATCCTTCCAGTCCAAAGTACTTAGAACAATAGTCAATGCCCCATATTACGTCACAAATAAGACTCTAAACCATGACCTTAACATCCCATTTGTCCTCGACATCATCCCATCCAGATTCTCAAACTTTCACTAGAACCTTATCCATCATCCAAATCCTCTAGCTCAATCTTTATCCAGCTCACACCATTCCTACTATCCTCCTCGAAGGTTAAAACGGCAGTGGCCACGAGATCTATTGTAAATATGCTTCAGGAGTCCTGGCAATGGCCAGCTTCTCCACTCAAGTTCTGAGCATCTGTGGCTCTAGTGCCCTCCTTCAGCCTCCACTGGCTTTTAATACTAGTGATGCGGCTGGAAAAGTGGCACTGGGATCGCTGGATTCCTGCTTTGCCTTCCACATGTAGGAAGAAAAGCCTGGCTCGAAGATTCCTGGGCGAATGTATATATTGTTTATAGGTACGAATGTATTTAGAAGTTTTTATTTTATTTTGTTTGTTTATTTATTTTTTCCTATTGATTTACATTTTTTTATAAGTATTATTTATTTACTTTTTATATTTATAGTAACTTATTTATTACTTGTATATACTGTATGACTAGTAGGGACTAGTATTATGCTGTCCTGTACCTAGTTTTGAAAATAACCTCCATTTTAAGATTACGTGACTGCGTTTCGAATCATTTAAGTTTTTTTGACAAATTCGATATGTGGGTGTATTTTTATGTTTCCCGATCAGTAAATTTTGAAAATGACATCCATTTTATGTTTACGCCACTGTGTTTTGACTTATTTAAGTTTTTAGAATTTATCCAATATAAAGGTCTACTTTTATTTTTCCGGAGCCGTAGATTTTGAAAACGACCTTCATTTTAAGATTAGGCCACCGCGTTTCGACTTATTTGAGTTTTTCGGATATTTTTCATATGAGGGTGTATTTTTATGTTTCCGGAGCTGTAGATTTTGAAAATGACCTCCATTTTAAGATTAGGCCACCGCGTTTCGACTTATTTGAGTTTTTCGGATTTTTTTCATATGAGGATGTATTCTTATGTTTCCGGAGCCGTAGATTTTGAAAACGACCTCCATTTTAAGATTAGGCCACCGCATTTCGATTTCTTTAAGTGTTTCGAATTTTTATCATAAAAGAGTGTATTCTTATGTTTCCGGAGTCGTAGATTTTGAAAATGATCTCCATTTTAAGATTACGCCACTGCGTTTCGGCTTATTCAAGTTTTTTCGAATTTATCCAATTTAAAGATCTACTTTTATGATGCCGGAGCCTTTGTTTTTAAAACGACTTACATTTTAAGATTAGGCCACTGTGTTTCGGTTTTGTTAGGTGTTTTTGATTTTTCCTTCGAATAAAAAACATAATACGAAGGATTAATTTATTTTTCAATAAATAAATAAAAATATCTAATCAAAATAAATAAAATATGTATTTTCTCATTTTTATTTTAATTTTAGTTATCTTTTTTAATGTTGTGGTCTCCTATCACAAAATTATAAGATTTCGAACAATTAGCTGAAAAATCTGAATACGGAAGGTTAAATTTATTACCAGTTGCTTTTCGGCTTTTTAGTTTGTATTCTGTGGTTAATTTTACTTTAGCTTCATAATATTTATTTATTTATTCATACTCGAAAACATATTGATGAAACTTTGTATTGAAAAAATCCAAAATGAAGCCTAATTAATCAAGATGCAACGGCTTAATCATAAAATGGAGCTTAAATATTTGATAAATTTAAATATTAAAGATTAGAAAAATTTCAATACGTCTCGGATAACATATAAGTAGATCCTTATACCGAAAAAGTAAAAAAAAAAACTTTTATAATCCAAAACAGTGGCATAAACTTTAAATTGGGTCATTTAGAAAATGGGGGAAATCTACTGCTCCAGAAACATAAAATTAGACCTTTATACTTGTTAAATTCTAAAAATTTAAAAAGCAGTTGCGTCATCATAAAATAGAGGTTATTTTCAGAATCTACGGTTCCGAAAACATAAAAGTAGACCTTTAAATTGGATAAATTCGAAAAACTTAAATAAGTCAAAATGCAATGGCGTCATCATTAAATGGATGTCATTTTCAAAATCTACGGCTCAGGAAACATAAAAGTAGACCTTAATATTGAATAAATTCGAAAAACTTAAATAAGTCAAAACGCAGCTGCGTAATCATAAAATAGAGGTTATTTTCAGAATCTACGGTTACGAAAACATAAAAGTCGACCTTTAAATTGGATAAATTCGAAAAACTTAAATAAGTCAAAATGCAACGGCGTCATCATTAAATGGATGTCATTTTCAAAATCTACGGCTCAGGAAACATAAAAGTAGACCTTAATATTGGATAATTTCGAAAAACTTAAATAAGTCAAAACGCAGTGGCGTAATCATAAAATGGAGGTCATTTTCAAAATCTACAGCTCCGGAAACATAAAAATACACCCTCATATGAAAAATATCCGAAAAACTCAACTAAGTCGAAACGCGGTGGCCTAATCTTAAAATGGAGGTCATTTTCAAAATCTACAGCTCCGGAAACATAAAAATACACCCTCATATGAAAAATATCCGAAAAACTCAAATAAGTCGAAACGCGGTGGCCTAATCTTAAAATGGAGGTCATTTTCAAAATCTACAGCTCCGGATACATAAAATACACCCTCAT